GTAAGGGTTGGAGAGGCTTCTTTAGAAATTGGGAAGCGAGGGTCTAGAACATTCTCTCTCCCACTCAGAAAAAGGCTTTGAAATATCCCAGAGTGGGCCAATTCAGGGAAAGCTGGTGAGTCTCCAAGATCCAGGGATAAAACAAACATTGCTGAACATTAATTATACCTGTCCTCAGTAACATCCATGTACTTGAGCATTTCCAGCCATCAAAAGTGCAGATTTGGATTTTGGAGGTCATATTGGCCTCAATAACCTTGAAAGAAAAGGTCAGTGCTGGAAATTGATGGCTCCTTGATGCAAAGAGACCTCCCTAGGTAGCTCAGGCCAAATTCAACCCAACTCTGGGCTTCTTTACCAAGAGAACTGGACAAATCAGTCATGCCTAGCCTTTTAAGGAAAACTGGCTGCAGCTTCTGCTAAGACAAGTGAACCAAGCTATTCCTTACATCAAGGTAGCCATGCTCTAGACCATGTGATCTATCTGTTCACCATGCTGGTTCATCAAGGGGGATGGGTATATGGAGGGCAGCCAACTCATTGGTTGACTAGTGACCTGTGCAGTGGCCTGGAGCAAAAAACTGCCCAAAATAGAACAATGGTAATTAACTAAACCAATCAAATTCTCTCTTGAGACTTTGAACGGGTAAATGGTATCAGGTAGCTTTTGTTTGTTTGGTTGGTTGGTTGGCTGGGTTTTTTCAAAGATGCAAGAAAATCCACAAAGAGGATCAGAAGGTTGGAGGCTGGCTAGAGTATGTTCCTGGCAGAGAACCACAGTGAAGGGGGGGAACTCGGGCTGCAGAGGGGAGATGAGATTACCTGTCTCTAGAGCTCCCCATTCTCAACGACTCCAGTTCCAATTTCTGTGAGGCTCACTGAACAGATATTTCTGGGTTGCTGCTGGATTCCTCTCGTCCTTTAGGTTCTGTGTATCCATAAAACAACACAGTACTAAAGAGAACTGAAATAAATCTATTTCTTGCAACCAAAAGAGCTGACCTAACACACCAGGTCTTCCCAAGACACCTATGGGTCCCTTGGGGCTACAGGCCAGCCAGGAAGATGCTGCAAAGGCCCAGAAGGTGCTGTTCTGTGAGTCACAGCAATGCATTTTACAGGACAATTTTCCTGTCACCTGCTGAGGCAGTAGGAGGAGGCACTGAGATGTCAAATCACAGGGAGCATCTGCTCGAAGCTGTGTTCCTCCAACATAACTGAGGTGGCTGGAGGGAGACCAGCCTTCCCAGAGGCAGCTGGTTTGAGATCCCACCTCGGTCTGTGGCACACTTGTTAAGGCCAAGGTGGAGTTTGTGGATGGGTCAGGGTGGGAATCAATCCCCACGGTCACAGGAAACATTCTAGAGTTAGAAGAGCATCCTTGTATTAGAGATGTGTGCTTCTTGACGGCTTATCCAGAGAAAGCTCAGATTTCTTTGTTTCCCATCCCTTGTTTAGGACTTGATTCTTTCTGCTCTATTTTCTGAGAAACAGTTGGTGGTGAATGACTCTTGTTCTTAAGGCTCAGATACAAATACAAGTTTTTCACTTTTTTCTATGGGCTCCTGATCCGAAGCAATATGAGAAAAGACAGACGGTTTTCACCAAGGTATCTTATCCCAGAAAGAACTGAGTGGGCTACAGTCAAAAAGAACATCATACTTTTTTTTTCACCACTTGAATGAAGACTGTCCTCTCCTGGAGAGCACTGACCGCTCTTACTACTGCATCCCTAGCATCTAGCTTAGTGTCTGCCACAGACACTCAGAAAAAATGTTTGCTAAATGAGCAAATGAGTGAGTTGGTGTTTCGGTGCCTTGTGGCTGAGTAGATTGCTTTGGAATAATCATCAATACAGGTAATACAAGGAATCTGCTGGGCTAGACCCCATGCATTTAGGACCCACCGAAGGGGCCAGCGCTCGGGGTAACTCACACAGCTCCCTGGGACCACTGCCTTGACTTCCGTCTGCTGCTCACAGGTTGGTGTGACTTCAGTAGTCAACACGCTCTGCTCTATCAACAGACTCCCTGGGCTGAGTTTGAATAAGGCAGTAGCAGGACCCTTGCTAATCTAAGTCTATACATGATGCTCTGAGTATCTTCTCAAACCCCAAAAATAAATATTTTAAAACAAAAACCTGGATAGTAAGATAGTAACATTTTTCTTCTGTAAAAGTGCAGCATTTTCTGTTATTTAATGTAATGGAAGAAATCCATAACTTCAAGGCCTCTCTTATTAGTGCCCTCTTCCCCTCTCCTGTCCATTCCCCTCCAGAAATAAGCAGGTCATATCTGTAGGCTTCTTCAAACTCTACCACAACATTTCCTCAGGAATTTTTTTTCCTCAGGAAAAAAATCCTTTCACACACCATGCAATAAGTATTGTGCCTGGCAGAACACAGACAATTCAGAAATATTATATATTGTTTTATCATTGCCATCTCTCAAAACAAATCACTTCATCACCATACATACATCTTTTAAGATAAATCCCAAGTGTTTGCCGAGCATTTTTTAAATTAGTCAATTATCCTCACCAGTGGCTGTGACTAATCAAAAGTACTGTCATCATATTCAGATATGCAAACTGGCTATAGCCACAGCCAACTTCAAGAATATATCACTATACCTCATGAACTGATACAAACGTCTTGCTCAACCCAGAAAGGATTCCTGTGATATTTCTACACAATGTGAGAATTCAGGAATTTAGTTTTAAGTGACTACTGAAATAAACTTTGTTACGTAATCTACATGAAGATAAATAAACCAAAAGGTTTTAAAAAAAAAAGGGAAAGGAAAAAAGAATCAACACCTACATCATTTTTTAATGTCTGTATCGTGTTCTATTTTATGGTCATAACAATATTAATGATGTGTTATGACTAACATCCTTATAGCTAAATCTTTGCATGTATTATTTTTTCAAGATCGAGTCATATTGTGTTTTTCTACAGGAACAAAACAGTATATTTATAGGAAAATAGCTAATTGAATAAAATATGTGTCTTTATATTTTCAGATTTACTGGCAAGTGTTTCATTAATAGTTTCCTAATATTCCCCAAAATTTCATAAAATGAACTTGTTTAAAATTTTTACATTCACAAATGATTAGGAAAATATAATAAGAATTTTGATTTTGTCTAAGTGGTGTTTTTGTTTTCATTTGGAAACATCACAGAAAATACATATTTAATTAACTGCTTTTTATAATTGCTCTGATCATGAATATAGGATAAAATGAATATTTCAGGAATATTCTCACAGTATCAAAGTGTGAAATTAAAACAGAATTGCAGGAATTGGAAATTCCTACTGTCAGTAGCCTTCTGTGAACACAATACTTACGTGATCTATAGAATTCTGCTTTCATAACTTATAAATTATTTCTGTCATCAGAGATTATTAAATATGAGTCTAGCCTTACTGAGACAAACTTCTAGCAGATACAACAACTTGCGGAACAAATACCGTTATTAATGGCAAAACCTTGATAATCTCCTAGGAGCAGTGAAATAAATTCCACAGGTATCAGAAGGGCATTTTAAATAGCAATAAAATTAAAACGATCCTCAAATTATGAATGCTTCATATATGTAACTTCTGACATGAACCAAGTGATCAGAATGTATTCACAACACACAAAAATGTAAACTGAGGACTTGGTATATATGTTTAAACTTTAATACTTGAGAAAATATAAGTTAAAATCTGATACAAACACTGCTGGCACAAGAAAATATACACAAATTTGGATTCAAATGGAGTCAGTATGTAAACCTGGATATGACTGTATCATGACAACTTGTAACAAAGCCTTTTAAAGAAGTAACAGATTTTTGTATCAGATATATATTGCAGAAGGAACAGTAATTTCTTTTCTCAAAAAATTTCCCTTATCCATTAAGAATTGTTAACTCAGTGTGGAGAGGAAAGTTAGAGATCATCTAATTTATCAAAGCATTTTAAAGATATAAGCCTTAAACACCTAGTGTAAGCTCAAACAATGCAAAAATAATCAGCATTTCATTTTCCTCTGAAGATTTATTTGATATGTTAGTCACGTTAAATTATAGAAACGAAAAATTTAAATATTTCATTCTTTTTTAAAGTACACATTATTTCTTCTTCCAGGTACATCAGCAATTTAAGCTTAATATTCATTTTACTAAATATTAAACAAAAAGAAACTTTTAAAATCTTGCACTATTATTAAGAAGAAATGATTTCTTTCTAACTTCAACAATGTACTTTTAAAATTGTGAAAACAATTAGAAACACTAGGTCTTTAAGGGCATTTCAAAATATATTTGAAGAAAGTATCTTTCAGCCACTGCTTACTTTAAAAAAGAAATTTATTTTGGAAGAGTAAGCTATATATAAATAAAAATTCATCCAATGTGAATATAACTGGAGAAATTCCCTGATCATGAATACTGGATAAAATGTGTATTTCAAGAATATTCTCACTGTACCAAGTGTGAAATTATAACAGAACTATAGGAGCTGGAACTTCCTACCATCAGTAGCCTGATGAAGATAGGGCTATTTATGAATTAACTTACAATTTTTCAAAAAAATAAAACCAGTTCTTGGAACTGCCAGATGATACTTTTATTCCAGAAGTTACTGATACAGAATTGTTTGGTCTTACAAAGGAATAAACTCCTTCTTAAAGGTAAAATTCTTCCTCTTTGAAAGATGCATTAAATATTTCTCATCACTAAAAATGTAAAGCTTCTGGTACTTCTTGGTTTTTGTTTTTTTTTAATGAATTTTACTTGGTTTTGCTTTCTTTTTTTTTAAATTAATTAATTAATTAAATTTTGGCTGTGTTGGGTCTTCGTTTCTGTGCGTGGGCTTTCTCTAGTTGTGGCAAGCAGGGGCCACTCCTCATTGTGGTGCGCGGGCCTCTCACTGTCGCGGCTTCTCCTGTTGCGGAGCACAAGCTCCAGACACACAGGCTCAGTAGTTGTGGCTCATGGGCTTAGTTGCTCCGCGGCACGTGGGATCTTCCCAGACCAGGGCCCGAACCCGTGTCCCCTGCATTGGCAGGAGGACTCTCAACCACTGCGCCACCAGGGAAGCCCCTTCTGGTACTTCTTGAACACTGACTTCACTTTCCAAAGATGTAAATATTATCTCCCTCAATGCCCAGATCAACAGTGGAACTCAACTAAATATTTGGTGACTGTCTCTTTTAAGAAGAGAAGCATCAATTATTTCAAAAACTAGCCTGCACGCAGCTTTGATTTTAACTGTATTTCTCAGACAAAAGATAGCTCACTTTTATACAAAAGTTTCTTGCTTTAAAATCTACAAACATCAGCAGTCAGCTTAAGATGCTTATTCTACGATTGCACATTTGTGTGAACCGTTATTTTTCTTTAGAAGACACATTTTAGTTTAAAATAGGGAAACACAGACCTCAATACTGAAAATAACCTGTGATAGCTGATAATACTGTGAAGTTATTAAACACACCCCTAAAACTTCTGAAAGTACATTAACAATTTTTTAAATAGTCACAATCTATTAAAAAACATATTATTTACAAATATCATCCCAGATCGACAGTCTATATAGCCACTACATGATCTGGGTAAGTTCCTTGGAGAATCTGCCTACAGAATAGAAAACGCTGCATACATACTGTCCATTTGCCATTGGAAAACTGAAGGCAGCATGACTTTATTGAAGAAAATTAACATAATTGGAAACCTCTAATTAAAACTTGTATTATTGTGCTAAAGAAAAATAGTAATCACATGACAGAATTTTTATGTAGCACCACTTTAATATTCTTTAATATCACCTTAATTTTAAGATTGTTAAAACATAATTCTGATGTTAAACATTATTTTAATGTAAAAATTGATATCTGTACTCACAGAAAATTACACTATTAAAAAATATTTCTAATATGCTAAAAGTTACTAAATCATTTCCCCTTTCACATTGCACAATGTCCATCTAAAATATAAGGTATAAGTTCTTATAAATAATATGTGAAAAAAATTTTTTCCAAGTTTCAATTTATATTTCAATACCTTAATTTTATTTTTTTTTACCAAAAATACTGGTAACAAAATATTACCAAGGTTAATAGAAGTCAGTTAAAAAAATCAGTTCCTTCTGATTTGGAAAGCTTAAAAAAATTTTAAATAATAGCAATTCTACCAAACCCAGAGTAACACTAAGCTAATCAGCAGCAGCTACTGGTACTTAGTATTGTTCCATCAGGCAATCCTGAACAGGAAACAAAATAAGATGTCTTTTGTAAGACAAGTGCCAAACCGTTGCTTTTAAACTAAAATGCAGTAACTTATATTAAGAGCACCTCCGTTTCTATTAGCAGGTAATAACCTCCACATTTAACACATATTCAAAATACAGCAACTACAGTTATAAACCTAGTAGTGTTATTTGACTTTACATTTCCATTAATGGGCAGACATTAACGAAGATGTCATGGACTGAAAATCATATAAATGTCTATAACTAATAAGAATCTCCCGGTGATTTTACCACTGTTCACCTTAAAAGGGTACCTTCTGGTGAATTCAGGTGTGTGAATTCTGATGAGCCCCTCCTCGCCCCAACCTCTACCCCCATCTTATTGTACTTAATGTCTGAACCTATTTGGATAAACACAAATAGAAGAAACTTTTAAGGTGTGCAGCTAACACACTCACTTTCTTTCCTCTCTTCTCTTAGAATGACACATTATGTTTATTTTCTAGGTTTCTTACTTCCAGTCATAACAAAATAATGATCATTGTCTTCCTTCTTCTTTGCAGGTTTTTTATCTCCACTAACTGCCTCCTTGCCAGATGAGGGTGGCTTCCTGGTTGCAGCCGGGGCTTTGCCACTTTTGGGAAGCCCTTTGGCTAAGCACTGGCTCTTGGTGGCAGTCTGTGCTGACTTTGGTTCAGGTTGTGCTTTGGCAGAAGACTGGGGAAGACTCACAATGGACAGCGGGGTACGGCCCGGGGACCTGGAGGAGCTGGGTCCTGTCTTCTGGGATGTGATTTTACTCTGAGGCTGCTTTTTGGCAACTGAAACCATATTATCTTTCGACTTCTCTGCAGCTTTTGCAGGAGCAACTGAGGATACAGAAAGTGGCTGGTTTAAATTCAAGGCTGACTTAAGTTTCTGTGCTGGCATTGCCCCCGCTTGCGGAGCTCCAACACGTGGCTGAGACTGTGTTCTCAGACCCGTGGTTATCGTTTTGGAACTGGATGTTGTCACTTTTGCAGGAGACTGGAAAGAAGGAGAAGGGTTAGGCCTTACGTGCAGATTTGCCTTAGGTGGCTTTGGACACTTTGATGATGAATTTAAACGTGCAGCTGAGTGAGAGACTGCATAATCCCTGGAAGACACATGGTGGTGTTTCAAATGCTTTGGTTCAATTTTTCCAGAACACTTATTTGGCAAAAGTGTGGATTCAGGCACATCTCTTGACTTCTGGGCTGGAATAAGCTTGGCCTTAGGAGTACTGGGTGATGAGTTACATTTTCTCAGCGACTCAGATACACAAGGTGCAGTTCTTAATAAAGCTGGTGAAAAAGTGCTTTTACCTACTGGATTTAAAGAAGCAGAAGCAGATGATGCATCGTTTGAAGGAGGCTGCAGTTTCTTTGTTACGTCCTTTGAAGATCTGAGTTTGAGATGAGAGGACACTGCTGGAGAATTTGGAAATTTAGAACGGACTGACCCACAGGCCAGATTGCCTCCTTTCAGGGAAGATGCTGGTGGCGACACACCTGGCAGACGTACCTGCTTCTCTTTGCTCCTTGGAATACCAACTGGCGTGCCAGGTTTTGAATTTTGTTTCTGAAACATGCTAACTGCTGACAAAGGATTCATTTCAGGAGGCTGAGGTGCTCTGGCGGACGAATCAGGCACACTTTCATTAGAAACTCCTTTTTGAAATGCTAGAATTTTCTGTTCTAGTGTAGCAAACTGTAATATTCGACAGGGGTCATATTTAAGCAAAAATCCTTGAAGAGTATCCCAGCCTCCACCGACACGGACCATGACATGTTTTCCGTGAAGCATCTTTCCCCCAAAAGAAAGTAAAAAGTAAAGCTGTAAAACTGTAAGGTGCAGTTACGGTTCATTAGCAGTCACAGTCTGTGATGTCTGTGACTATGAAATTCAGTGTATTTGCCAACAGCTTCACTATAAATTGCTAGTCTCTTTCTTGTGTTACTAAAGTAACAAATTTAATTCATATTGAATCATGCAACTAACAATAGAGAATCCTCCAGTTTGTCAGGAAGATATTTACACATCCTAAAAATCCAAATTACTAATACGCAAAACTGCAAGGACTGAATATTGATGGAAGAAAGGAAAAGGGAGAGTAAAGGAGGGGAGGAGAGAAAAAAAGACTCATACTAAAGAGAAACATAATTACAGAAGAAAGATAAAAACTACCAAAACTTGTATGTTAGAATTTAACAAATTACTTTCATATGTATCATATCAATGTAATCTTTCAAAAACTTTGATATAATTTATTACTAGTTCTTCTTTGCAGATGAGAAAATTATGGCTCTGAGACATTAAGGAAACTGTCTCAAACCACACAGCTTGGCCTGGCCTCAAACGCACCAGGCTGCCCAACCCAAAAGGTGCTTTTGTGTTGATAAGATATATCCTGGGTCTGCCAGCACAGCCCGAGCTGGACGGACTCAGGCCCCTATTCATTCAGCAGGCAAATCTGCAAAGTTGTATGAGACTGCTCTGCAAATTTTCACTCTAAATCCCATGCTCTGTGCACTATCACTATATCATACTGCTTAAGAAAAGAAATCTAATTAAAAGACAAAATGCATATGCCTGTTTCTGTATGAGTTGAACAGGGTATGGGGAACTAATGATAATATATGAAATAAAAGAAAATATAGGTGGTAAAATTATATTTTTTACATACTTTTATATTACATTCCTAAATTGGGAATAAAACAGCTCTTGTATCAATAAGTGGACAGAATGATGAACAGGTAAACTTCAATCTCCTTATCAGCAAAGGGGACAATTAATCAATTGCAGATTGCAAATGGGACAAAGGAAGAAAATAAGCATGTATATTAGCATATTAGTATAGATGCTGATGCTGTGTCAGTGAAAAAAAGGCTTCATACTTAAGACCCAAAGTCTATATTATTATCAACTGCAATGTTTCTACTTCTTTTTCTTCTTACTGACATTTAATCTTATTAGATGTTCTGGTTTTGCTTTTTTCTTCTTCTTATGATAGAAAATTATTCCTCTTTAGGAAATCTAAAAAATGGAATAAGTTACCTGAGGTATTCAAAAATTTTTCCCCCAATTATATTCAATGTCCAAATAGTCTTAGCTTAATTAGTTGTTTGCTGTGTTAAGCGTATTTACCTAAACACATTATATACTCTTGAAAATATTCCATATATTTCCTCCTATACAGTGAAATTCTTCCATTAATAACATCCTCTATTGCAATTTTTTAAAAAGTAAAAGGGGAACAAAAGAAGGTTGGTAAAGCAATAAATTCAATTTCAAAACAAGATCTAAACAGGATGTAAATGGTGGACTTACTCTTATAAAAAGTATTTTATCTCCTAGTCGATACCGTCCTTCAGATAAGTACTCAATAGAAAATCGATGAGAACAACTACAAGGAGGGTCTTCAGCAATGTGTTTAACCTAAGATTAAAAATAAACAACAAGATTTAGTGCTTGTGACAAAAACTATTTTGTTTAATGTTAAAATGCAAGGTTATTTGATAGTTGGGAAAATCAAACTCAAAGAAAAAAATTTAAAGACAGTTCAACTATTTATTATCTCTTCCCTTTTACTTGTTGTCAAATATTGAGATTAGACATTAGCTAATCTAATAAAACCTAACAGTGAGGAAGTCTGGAGTCTCTCTCTCTCTCTCTGCCCAAGTGCAATCAGGCTCGTCGTGTACTCACTGATCACCGGAGAAGGTCTGTGAATGTGTACACAGTGAAGTCAATTCAAAACACATTCATTCAGTCATAGGAAACAGTTCGTTACTAAGTTTGAATTGTTTTAAGACTTGGATTAATATATCTGTCAAATCAAAGATGGACCCGTTAGATAAAGTTTAACCAGGAATTTTCACTTGTCCCTTACCACCATGTGAAAGTAATACTGTATGTATGGGGGAATATCCAGATTTGTTCCAAAGTTACTGTTAAAATAGGCAGAGATGCATTTATAGCTATTGGGCTGGGCAAAAAGTACATTCGGGTTTTTCCCTAACATCTTACGAAAAACCCAAGCAAACTTTTTGGCCAATCCAATATTCACCCAAGACTAGGTAAATTCTAAAAATTTCAACTCAAGAGGCATTTTTCTAAAAGCACTCACTTTGTTTCAATAGTCTGCTAAAGAGATGAGAACTGAGGAGAAAATCCTACCTCTACTCCTCGAGGGGCTTACAGAATTTTTAACTGCAGTAAATATCTTAAAAATGGTAAAAACTGGGCCTCCCTGGTGGCGCAGTGGTTGAGAGTCCGCCTGCCGATGCAGGGGACACGGCTTCGTGCCCCGGTCCGGGAAGATCCCACATGCTGTGGAGCGGCTGGGCCCGTGAGCCATGGCCGCTGAGCCTGCACGTCCGGAGCCTGTGCTCCGCAATGGGAGAGGCCACAACAGTGAGAGGCCCGCATACCGCAAAAAAAAAAAAAAAAAGGTAAAAATTGGAATAAAAATTAAAATTCAGGAATTCTTTATTTAAAACATGGAAATTAATATAAATTGATTAAATGAAAATATTTGCTGAGATATGTTTGATTTGAAAAAAAAAGTCACGTATCAGCCACTATGGAAACCATTTTGTTTTCCTAAAATTATATTTCTGAAAAAGTATATTCTTCTCAACTACTTGTCACACAGAGTATATCTAAACAAATACACTTAATTGCACTTAGGCATGATGTTAAAGAAAGTCTCTTCAGATATACCCAACTTACCTGAGCACTAACAGAAATTTATGAGTGTCTTAATTATCTACACAAAATGGACACATGTGGATTCACCCGGGCCTGATCAGAAGGATCCGGATTTATCTCCCTACATCATTCATTTAACAGAATAACATGATCATAAATAGAACTGATTTTCATAAGCGATTCAATGAAGTTTATCTTGTTTAGTTTGGTTATATGAGCACATAGGTACACACATGCATACACACACATACATACCACATGCATAAGATGGCTAAAAAATATTCTGAACTTGGGTAAAGAATTTACAATTATTTGAACCATTTACAAGTTAGATAACAAAGTAATTTGAAAGGAGGTAATTATTTCAGTCATTATTTTCTATCCATTAAGGTTTCTTAGGTACACAGAATTGCAGTTGTGTATTTCTTAACAGCACTCAAAATAATGAATCAGATAATTGTTCCTTAATTTTAAACATGACCATAAGATCTCAGCAGGTCACATATGTGTAGGTGGACTCTGAATATATTCATATAGCACATATATGTTTAAAGAAATGTGTTCCTTTTAGTTTTCATAACAAGCTTGCAGGCATGAAAGGTCACTTATTTTCTTTGTTTAAAATATCCAAATACCACTTATATTCAGCAGTACAAATCAGCACTAACCCACAATCTAAATAAGTTGGTGAGCCTAAAAGGAGTAAGTGCTGTGAATAAAAAATGTTCTCTTCTGGTTTTAGCTATTGTGTAATTAACATTTTAACATTAAAGGAAAAAGCTAAAGAAATTAAAATCATCTGTAAAGGTACTACCCTAATATCAATTATTTTCATTCTCCTTGTTCTGATACATACTTTTCACAAAGTAAACATTTTTCTTGTTGCTATATAGTCTTCATAATGATTACAAAAAATGATTATTCTGCTAAAATAGTAAATCCTAATTTACCTAGCCATTGCCCAATTTGAGAGTATTTACATTGCTTCCAATTTTTCAGCCTTATAAGTAATACTGCAATAAATACTTTCATTCATGCTACTTTTTTTCCCCTCTTCAAGTATAATAAAAATGAAAGAGGAACACTTTTGGCGAACTATGAGATTCTGACGCATCATATTTGAAAGAAAGTGTGCAATTACTTACAGCTTCGTGCAGCTCTTCATGCTGACAGCATGATTTTGGAATGCTGATGGAATCTTCAGCCCCAGAAGTATTAAGTAAGGTCTCTTCTAGCTCAATTTCTTTCTCAAATTTTACTAATACTGGTGGCTCAACCCCATAGCTGAAAACCAATCATGAGATCTCATCAAACAAGTGAAGTCTGAGGCAAGTACTTCCATGTATATCACAATAGGTTTTCTTTTATTTTTAAATGAAGTCTGTATGACTCTCTTCTACCAGTTGTTTCACTGGGACATCTGGAAATGCTTTATAATGTCCCACAGATTGCCAAAAATTCAGATTATCATCTTTACATCATAGTATATATATATTTGGGTTACTGGATGCTCCCAATATTCAATCAGGGATCCTAAACGTACCTTTAAAAATCAGCTTGTTAAAAAAAACAAAAAACAAGTCATCTCGTGAGTGAAGATGGTGTCGAGCTAGGTATGGAGGATACCAGGCCTCAGCCTTCTTATCAGACCCTCTTTGTGTCCAAAGGACTTGCTTCACCTTGAACTGCTTAAAGATTGCATGCTCTTACTCTACTTCTTTTTTTTTTTTTTCGGTACGCGGGCCTCTCACTGTTGTGGCCTCTCCCGTTGCAGAGCACAGGCTCCGGACACGCAGGCTCAGCGGCCATGGCTCACGGGTCCAGCCGCTCCGCGGCATGTGGGATCCTCCCGGACCGGGGCACGAACCCATGTCCCCTGCATCGGCAGGCGGACTCTCAACCACTGCGCCACCAGGGAAGCCCTCTTACTCTACTTTTGATCTGAAAAATGTAAGTATCCACTTTTACAGTTTAATACTAAATGAAGGCAAGCTACATGAGCAAGCAGATGTTGACACATGACATGGCTCATGTGAACAGAACAAAGTTAATAAAGAAACAAAAAGAAAGAGAAAACAGTAAATTAAGTTACCTTTATTCCAATCAAAAATTATTTTCATTTATAGAAAATAGTGTTCTCGATAAAATAAAGCAGCTTAAAAAATGTTTGTGACATTGAAATTCTGAAATATTGTGGAATACATACCTTGACACAATTCGACCAATTTCAAGAAGACAAAGATACACCTGTCTCGGATCTTTGTGCAAAACTGTGAAAAATAAGACCACATATTTTAGGGGGCAAATTAAATAGGCAAATATATTTACGGCATGAAAGAAGTAAAAGAAAAGATTACTTATTTGGAGACTCAGAAAAGACTTTTATTTCTTCTACATATTATCATCTTCCTGAAATTAAAAAGAAAATGGCCAACCAGAAGATTAAAATTTACCATGGATGCTTACCTGTGTAGTATTTTAAGTCTAAAAAACTGAGCTTAGTAACATTAAATTATTAATATTTCAGATCTCTTAATAGGAGATATTATTGAAGAAACGTTATCACTTCAATTTTATTCTAAACTATCTTTAGCACAGGACTATGTGTTAACAGCCTTCTTCAACTCTTCCAAAAATAGAAGAGGAGAGAGCACTTCTCTACTCATTCTATGAGGCCTATATTACCCTGATATCAAAGTCAGAAAAAGACATCACAAGAAAACTAAAGACAAATATCCTTTATGAACACAGATGTAAAAAATTCTCAATGAAATACTGGCAAACTGAATCCAGCAGCAAGCGAGATTTATCCCAGAAATGCAAGGTTGGTTCAACGTATGAAAATCAATCAATATAATTCACCATATTGATAAAATAAAGGAAAAGAAACATACAGCTATCTCAGTAGAGACAGAAAATGCTTTTGACAAAATCAAACACCCTTTCATGACAAAAAAAGACTCAACAAAGTAGAAACAGAAGAGAACTTTATAAATATGAAAACAGACATCTCTGGAAAACCCATAGCTAACATCATTATTAATGGTGAAAGACTGAATGTCTTCCTCGAGGCTAAGACCAGGGAAAAGAAGGATGTCCACTCGTACCAATTCTATTCAACATTGTACTTGAGGTTCTAGTCAGGGCATTTGGGCAAGAAAAATAAATAAACGCCATCTAGATTGGAAAGGAAGACGGAAAACTATATTTACAGGTGATATGGTCCTTTGTTTAGAAAACCCTAAAGAATCTACAAAAAAACTAATAGAGCTAATAAGCAAGTTTAGCAAAGTTGCAGGATATGAGATCAATATACAAAAGTCATTGCATTTTATACATTAGCAATAAACAATCTGAAATGTAATTAAGGAAATGATTACATTCACAGTAGCTTCAAGAAGAATAAAGTACTTAGGAATAAATTTAACCAAAGAATTGTAAGACTTGTACACTGAAAACTATAAAATATTGTTGAAAGAAATTAAATAAGATATAAATAAATTGAAAGACATCCTATGTTCATGGATTGGAAGACATATATTGTTATTGTAATACTCTCCAAACTGACCTACAGATTCAGTGCAATCCCTATCAAAATTCCAAGAGCCTTTTTTTTTTTCCCAGAAATGGACAAGCTGATGATAAAATTCATAAAGAACTGTAAGAAATATAGAATAGCCAAAACAACTTTTAAAAAGCACAAAGTTGGAAGACTCATACTACCCAATTTCAAAACTACAGTAATCAGGACAGTGTTTACTGGCTTAAGGATAGACATACAGACCAGTGGAATGAAACAGTGTCCAGAAATAAACTCGTATGTTTATGTTCAATTGATTTTCAACAAGGGTGCCAAGACAACTCAAAGGGGAAAAAACAGTCTTTTCAACAAATGGTGCTAAGACAACTCGATATCTACATGCAAAAGAATGAATTTAGACTCCTTCACACAGTATACAAAAAATAACTCAAAATGCATTACAGACCAAAATGTAAAAGCTAAACCTATAAAAATCCTAGGAGGAAGTATAGGTGAAAATCTGTGTGACCTTGGATTAGGCAATGGTTTTTTAGATATGACACCAAAAGCACAAGCAATCAAAGAAAAGATAAACTGAACTTCATCAAAATTAAAAACTTCTGTGCATCAAAGGACACTATCAAGAAAGTGAAAAGGCAACCCAAAGGCCAGAAGAACATATTGGCAAATCATATATCTAATAAGGGCCTAATACCCAGAATAAAGAAAGAACTCTTACAAGTCTACAAAAAAAAGACAATTGACTCCCCCAAAAATGAGGAGAAGATTTGAATGGACATTTCTGTAAAGAAGATATACAAATGGCCAATAAGCCCATGTAAAGATGCTCAACATCATTAGTCTTTAGGGAAATGCAAATCAAAACCACAATGAGTTACCACTTCACACCCACTAGGATGGTTATACAGTTGACCCTTGAACAACATGGTTTGAACTGTGTGGGTCCACTTACACATGGATTTTTTTCAATAAATACATACTACAGTACTATAAGATCTGTGGTTGGTTGAATCTGTGGATTCAGAACCGTGGATACAAAGGGCTGACTGTAAAGTTATATCCAGATTTTTGACTGCAGGGTTAGGGGACCACTGCCCCTAACTCCTGGATTGTTCAAGGGTCAGCTGTAATTTTAAAAAATAATAACAAGTGTTGACAACTATGTGAAGAAATTGGAACCTTTGTGCATTGCTAGTGGGAATGTAAAATGGTGTGGCCACTGTCAAAACAGTTTGGTAGTTCCCCAAACAGATAAACACAGAATTACCATATGACCCAATAATTCCACTCCCAGGTACATCCCTGAATTTAAAACATATGTTCACTCAAAAACTTACATACAAATGTTCATAGCAGGATTATTAATAATAACCCCAAAATAGAAACAATCAAAATGTCCATCAGCTGATAGTAGATTAAAAAATGTATATCCATACAACGAAATATCATTCAGCCATAAAAAGGAATGAAGTACTGTTAGATGCTACAAAATAAATGACCCATAATGCTAACTGAAAATAGCCAGACACAAAAGCTACATATTGCATGATTTTATTTATATGAAAAGTCCAGAGTAGCAAATCTATAGAGAAAGAAAGTAGACTGATGGTTGCCAGAGGATGGAAATATGGAGTAACTGGGTCCAACTGCTAACAGTTATGGGTTTTCTTTTTGGAGTGATGGAAATGTTCTGGAATTAATAATGGTGATATCTGCACAAATCGTGAGTATACTAAAAACCACTGAAGTCTACATTTTGAAATGATACATTTTATGTTACGTGAACATACCTCAATTTTTTTAAATGCTATGAATAAAAAGAAACCTAATGTGCTTAATGATCAGCACACCTGGATTAAAGCAGGGTGCAAACTGGGGGGTAAAATAGCAATCCATTAGTTTTAATTCTACACTGGATAAGAATATCCAGAGGCATACTAAACAGGTAACAGTGGGGAACAGCTACCTGTCTGCAGGCAACAGGGTGTGCATGGTCAATAGAAATATTTACAACATTAATAACCTAAAACAATAATGAAACCAACTAAAAAGTTGGTTTGCTTTTTATTATCACCATGAACCGGCAAGTCTAAGCAATGTCAGTGACAAAATACTTCTCTCTACCAGGACCGAATACTATTCCCATGACCCCCGCCCTTGGTATGCTACTGCTCTTATCAAAACATTATCAATTCTGTGTGTGTGTGTGTGTGTGTGTGTGTGTGTGTCTGCATGTGCACGCACACACACTCACACACATAAATACTTTGAGGAAATATATAGTCTAAAACTTAGATAGCTTTCACTTTGGTCACTGCACAGATGTTTCTGTTGACTTAAATGAAATGAGAAAATACATCAATAATTCTTCAATACAGCATGACTTTTTAAAAGCATTAGCCCATTTAGATAACCAAATTGGCACCTGCTGTTTACACCATGAACATACATCATTTGGCCTTCTGTTATTTCTGTAATTATCTAGTTAAAAATAAATTACTAGTAATTTAGACTTGATAGAGTAATTCTTGACGAAAACATTAATTAGTTAAGCCTTAATCCAGAACCTTCCCATAGCCAACTCATTTAGGAAGTAAAGTATGTCCAGGCCATTCTAGATATATAGGATCTAAAACATAAATGAAAAGCTTTTATCATACATTTGATCTGGAATCTGATTCTCCAATTGTTTACATATATCTAGAGTATAAATGTTTCTAGTAAAATGAAATGTGGCATTTGAGTCCTTACTTGGAAAGAAAAATTAGAAGCCAGGCATACAAAAATATCCTAATAAACATTAAACACAACAACACCACCTACCTAAACCTTCAGATTCAAAGAGGTAAGTCTCATCAACCCCGATGTGCCTGCACCAGTGAAGGAAGTTCGCAGTATTGTCTCTAGCAAAGAACGAACCTGATGCAGCATCTTTCTTACAGGGCACTTTTCTCATTGGAAAATTCTGAAAAAGACAAAAGGATAATTTCAAACATGCATCAAGGATATTTTCATTAAATATCCATTTTAATATTACTAAATAAATGTTCAGTGCATTGAATGTAACTAAAAAGTGCATAGCACTAGAGGAAAAAGGCATCTTCAAAAATCATTTTATTTTGCTTTTCATTAAGCATATTCTAGAAAATGATTCCTAGGAAAACAGTCAGGTCAAAATTAGCAGCAGGATCACACATATCTAACCTCTCTTTTTAAAATGACATGAGAGTCTTAGTTAAGATAAAAAATGACAGTCTAATAATTCCAAAGCACATCTTTATAGTTTATCTCTCCAAACACAGTTCAATACAAACACAAAATTATTGCTATGTTAAAGGTTTACACAGTCTCAATTTTGCTAACTTCCTTATTTGCAGATTCATAAATATGGTTCTGAGTTTCTTAAGGAGACTTTCAAACAAGGAAGTAGTAGCCCATTCTTAATTAAAGTTCTTTGAAAATTGACAAGCTAAGTTTTACAGAATCCTAATTCATTTTTATTTCCTGGACCAAGAGTATTCAGATAATCCTGCTGAGGGTGAGGGTTTGGGTTTTTTTAAGAAATTATTCATCTCTTTTTTTTTGGCTGCATTGGGTCTTCATTTCTGTGCACGGGCTTTCTCTAGTTGTGGCCAGCGGGGGCTACTCTTCGTTGTGGTGCGCGGGCTTCTCATTGCAGTGGCTTCTCTTGTTGCGGAGCACGGGCTCTAGGCGTGCAGGCTTCAGTACTTGTGGCACATGAGCTCAGTAGTTGTGGCTTGCAGGCTCTAGAGCGCAGGCTCAGTAGTTGTGGCACACAGGCTTAGTTGCTCTGCGGCATGTGGGATCTTCCCGGACCAGGGCTCAAACCTGCGTCCCCTGCACTGGGGCAGGCACATTCTTAACAACTGCACCACCAGGGAAGCCCGGCTGAGGGGTTTTTAGTTTTGTTTCAAATTTTTACTTGAATAAGAAATTCACGCATATGATTTTTTAAAATGCAATGGGCACAGTAGAGTATAAGTCTTTCTCCTACCACTACCCCTCAGTTCCTTTCTCTCCTTGGAGAGAACCACACTATTACCAGTTCCTTATGTTTCCTTCCTGTTGCTATTATTTTCTAGGATTACAATAACCTTGTGAGTTTTTCTAGTTGTATATAGGAAAAAAAAATCAACACAGCCAAATACAAAGATGGTTAGTATCAATTGAAATCTTCTTATCCACACTTCAGTAAGACATCTCCATACACAAGTATATCTGTACCTACAGGATGCTACGTAAACAGGCTATTCTGCAATCTGAGTTGTGTATGTGTGCATGCACACTTAATGATAGGTTGCAGGCACCTTTTGAGGTAAAAAAAAACACAAAAATTAAAATAGTCATTTCTAATGAATAGATAATATTCTACTCTGTTTAGGTACCATAATTAATTTTAAACAACTTCTCTACTGATGAGCATTTAGGTTGTTCATAATTTTTTTTGCACAGTCGTTTTTGTGAATTTGTGGTTATTTTCTTAGAATAAATTCCTGGAATTAGAATTATGTTACGTATCAAAGGATGTGCTTTATTTTCAATGTGATATATGTTACCCATTGTCTCCCAAGAAAGATGGTACTACCTTATATTTCCACCAGCACTATGTTAATATCTAGAATACACACTCACAGACACCAGATCCCATGAGTGAAAATAACCATATTTGATGAAAAGAGAGGAAACCTTATCTGCCTCAAATCCCAACTTCAGGGTCAACGGTAGAAAAGTATCTAAAAAAAAGTATTATTCATTCAGCCAATATTTATGAATTTACCATGAAGACAATATATAAAGAATAAAAAGATGATGATAATAGCTCTTAACTGTGTGCCAGGAACCATCACAACCTCTTTTTTCACTTAACTCTCACAGGAATCCTACAAGGAAGGTACTATTATTGTTCTCAAGAAGAACTAGCTATTTAGATATTTACTATGCACCAGGCATTATCTATATAAGCTAACCACTATCTATATATTATCTCATTTAATGTTGCTGAATCCTCGAAAATATATCCTACAAGGTAAAGGTTAATATCTCCATTTTACAAGTGAGAATATTTTTTCAGATGCTCAAAAAGATTAAGTAAATTATCCAAGATTTTACATATAGTTGCGTTGGAAGTTTACAACCTTGTAGAGATGATGAGAAATGTACATAAGCAAATCAATATGTACCAAGGTATTAAATCACTACTGTCAAACATTTTCTTACCACTGGTTCTTCAGAGTTGCATGTTTTCACCGTGTTTTGAAGAACATCAATCAGTTGGCATAACAGTACTCCATTATCAAGTTCTTCCAATAACCTTTCTGCCTTAACTTCAATACCTAAAAACATATTTCAAAGCTAAGAGCCTTCTAGAAACAGTAAATTCAAACAATATGGTTAAAGTTTAATTAAATGTAATCGGATTATAGCTGAAACACTAGGCAAATATTAGATCAGACTCCGAGCATTCACTCTTAGAAGGTACAGTTAAAACGGCAGATAATATCAAATTAAGAGAAAGTCAACTGAAACAAAAATATCTGTGGTGTAGAAGCACAGGAAAAATAAATGACATCTACTTTATTTCACTGAAAAACACCAAAGTGTCTTATATTTCAAGATCCACTATTAAGGTTAAGTTTTGATTCACTGCACATTACAACTGCTTGCACAAGAAAGAGTCTCTATAAGTAAGATGGTCTTTGTTGCAATTTAAAAATTAAAGATAACAATGTAACAAGCACTCAGAAAATACCAACTTTTCACCTCTAAAATCTCTTATTTGGAAGCATTATTACATAATAAACTTTTAAGAAATTATCCAAATCTTCAAACTGATACAAGAGTGAGTGTTTAGTGCGTTTTTAATTCTCTTCAAAGACCATAGATGAGCTTTATACGTATATATTCCTCCTCACGAAAACCTTACAATGCTACATGAAATTCTGTTATTTAAAAGAGAATTTTTTTCTAGGGAGAAAGTTCAGAGCACTCATGTCCCTCTAACTGAGTAAAGAAATATGATGCCATGCATTCTCCAAGCTGACATTTCCTCCTAGGTTTCATATACCTCTGCCCCTAGAAGCCTCAGAAACAGGAATCATTTTAACGACAGCATATATTCCACCCAGAATCTCATGCCTTACACAAGTTTAAGGAGAAAAAAGAAATCAATAAAATACAGACTCCCAAATTAGACCTATTCACTTAAAATTTTTTTTAACATTAACAATTAAAATGTTGATTATTCACAGCTCTGACTACTGACCTCTTCCATGAAGCCTCAAACTTGCCTACTATTCAAGCCCCGAGAGTCAGGGTGAATCAGAATATCTTCCCAACCAGAATGTAAGCTTGGTGAGAAAAAGGACATCAAATATTTCCTTCACTAGAGGATCCCCAGCCTCTGGAACTATCATTCCTTGACAAAGAGTAAGATTCTCAATAAACATTTACTGAATAAGAGATTACAGTTTTGAGCATCTTTGCAAGCCTTACCTAATAAACCAGAGAGCCAGATCGACAGATCTTCCTGCATGGGCAACAGGGTAGCTTCATGCCTCACAGCTATCCACTCATCATACTGACAAACGTCAGCCAAACCTGGCCCATGTCTGGGGGTCAGAGGACTCCGTGGACTTAGAGGCAGGTCTTCTCCAAACCACACCTAGAGAAAACACCAACCAACTGAATGGACGCAACCCTGTTAAAAGTCAGCACGCCTAACATTTATATTTAAATAATGAATTACAGACCATATTTAATATACAGAGCTGCAGCAGCTCACAGAAAGTTAATAAACTAGAAGCAAACTATTAGCCTGGATACTTGAGACACTTTCCGTATTCAATTCTGTGATAAATGTAAGTGAATCCCTAATTAATGAATGGGTTCTACCATCAAACTGAGGGGATGAAAGTCAACAAATATTTTTTTTCTTTCACTTCTTAGCTGCATAAGTTTAACAAGTTACTTGACCAGAGTATCAGCATCTTGGCTGTAAAATGAATTAATAATACTTGCCTTATAAGCTACATCTTTGTAGAATCTAGCATTGGGCCTAACAATATTTGTTGAATAATGGATAAATGAATGAATGCACAGTTGGCATTTTATAAACTTTAAATCATAATAACAGTGTTATCTAAAAAAAAATTCTAAATAATGTGGTCTGTCACTTGATTTTGCATGGCCCACAAGCTAAGAATGGTTTTTACATTTTAAAATGATAGTTATGTAAGTACCTACATAATAGCTTTGATTCTGCCTACTTACTCACTAAGCTAAAAATGTTTACTACCTGGTCAATCCCTGGTTTAGAATAAAAACTGACAGAAATATGCTATCAAACCAACACTTGCAAAATTTTGAAATACAACTAGATATACTTTTAATATAAGATTAGTTAGAGAAAAGACTGTCAAATCTCAACTCAGGAAGGGGTATCAGAGCCCAAGTGAAGTGATAAAGGGGTCCTCACAGGAGGGCAGCTTGAAATGGAGAGTCAGAGCTTGAGTGAGGTGACAGGGCATCCACGCATGGCAACGGCCCTGTGCAGCATCAGACCCTGAGCAGGATAAAGAGGGTGTCCACTGGGGACAACGGGGGAACATCCCAGTGCAGGGTGTCAGAGCCCAACTGAGCTGAGAAGGGCATCAGCTCAGGGAGGGGTGGCAGCAACAAAGAGAGACGGGTTACATACACGGGGATTTATCAAATGGGAGCCAGGTTTCTCACTGCCAAAGAAAAGAGGTACAACTGTGGACTGAGAAAACTAGAATGAACCCCATGGTGTTGGAATCGAGTAAGTTTTACCAGAAAGCAAAGAAGCGCTCAAAGAATGATAGGGACATGCAAAAGGACACAGAAGTCAGCTTGAAGGGACTTCTGCTGGCTAAATCGAGAAGAATTTGAGCATCAAAATAATGATATAAGTGGATTATAACACACTGAATAAAATGGACAACTCTGAGTCCACATAGATATAAATAAATGAATAAACTGGAATTTTGATGAGGAATGAGATTTCCATATACTTTCAAAGTACTTCCCCAGAAATACCTACTACAAAGAGAAAAAAGGTAATTTCACAGTAGAGAAACTCATCAGGCAGCAACTTAACCCAGGCAGCAACTTAACCGAGTGACACAGGTGAACATGATCAACAACGGGCTAAATCAAAATCATATGCACCTGACAGGATAGGAGACAACACATCCCTCTGTAATAGTCCTGCCAAGATGCATAACCTGAATCTAATGATGAGAAAACATCAGGCAAATCTAAATTGAGGGACATTCTACAAAATAATTGGTCTGTAATACTCAAAAGTGTCAAGGTCATTAAAGAAAGCAAATACTAATAAAGACTGAGGGGCACGACAACTAAACGCAACAGGTGATTCTGAACTGGACATTATTGGGACAACTGACAAATAGTTGAATGTGGTCTGAGTATTACATAGTAGTTCTGTACCAACGCTAATATCCTGATTCTGATGATTTCATTGTGGCTGTATAGGAGGGAGTCCTTGCACGCGATAAATGCACTAAAGTAACAGAGGTAACGGGACATTAGATTTGCAACCTACTCTCAAATGGTTCAGCAAACAAATATCTCTGCTCTACACTTAACAACCACTTTGCAAGTTTGTGATTGCTTTAAAATAAAATTTTAAAAAGTTTTTTAAAAAGAGGCATAAGTATAGGTAATACCAAGTGAATCTAGTTCTGTCTTGATTTTTCAATGTAGATAATTTCCCCCCCTTCAATATATTAAACTTACTGAGGTTTATTTGAGGCAAGTGTTACTATACCAAATCAAAAGCCATAACAACACCATTGTTAACCCAGACAAACATAGAGGGAAAAAAAAAGAGCTGCTTCCAATCTCCTATGATGAGAAATAAACACGTTCTTTAAAAATCTCACAGGCAAAGGAAGACAATGAATATATACCACACGAGGCAAGCAGGAGTAGCAAAACTTAATAAAAATACCCAAATACTAAGAGAAACATTGTTATTCGAGGGGCATTATTTCAGAAACTGAGGGTAGAGATTTGGGGAATGAACTCCTAAATACAGGAGGATCCCATAAAGTTTTTGGAAAAAAACAAGATGTTATTTCCCCAAATTCTCTTAGAATTACTTCAAAGGGAGTATAGCAAAGATATAATATCTAAATCTTCCCTTCATAAGAATGTCTTGCTTCTGTAATCCCAGGACTCAGTATAAGACCTACCTCATGATAGGCAGTCAAAAATATTAGTTGAATACTTGAGGAACAGATACTAGCAAATGACTCTTTGTACCATCAAAATCAAGATGCATCTTACAATAAATTGTATTTTACAGTCAACAGAATGTTATTTGTCCTTTAACCATTTGGCCGAGCTGACAAAAGGCAGAGAAGATGCAAATGTTTGTCAAGGAAACATGTACATTATCTAGGAAGGTGGTTTTGAAAATATCATGTATGAAAATGGAGAAGCTAAAATTAACAAAAGTCATTCTAAGTTCTTGCCACATTAGGGAGAAGAGTACTTGGATTTTCCTATTATTACAAGCAGAAAACCTGGGCTAGTCAGTAGCATATTAATGTTGTTAAAAGCTAGATGTTAAGAACAAAACCTGCATGTGTAAAGATTGTTCTCCATCATGCTGAAAGCTGTCACATTGCAGAGATTCCTAACCATAGGCAGTCTACAGAAGAACTTGAATCAGTATATAAACTTAACTTACATTTAGACAAAAATTTAGGTCTACGTACAAATGGGCCTTTTCTCAGAGAGAGAGAGTTCATAGTTTCTGTTAGATTCTGGAAAGGGTCTGTGACCCAAAAGAGATTAGGAACTATCTAGTTCATTGATTTTTAGACTGTAAGTTTATTTACTAATCAGAATCAGGGACATAAAAAAGGGGCAAGGAAGACCTTCATGGATTAAATGAATAAGAAACCAGCTATCTACTGGGTGTCTCCTCTCTGCAAGGCACTTATGAAAAACGAAGCCTAATTAGCAAAGAGATGAAAATCCGAGGAAGTTCTCACATTCACCAGGGAGAGAAGCAAAAACTTCTGTGAGGGATGTCAAGGGTACTCCTGGAGAAGAATCAATAGGGACAGATCTGTGGAATCTAGGTCAGAGACGGGTTCGTGGAACTATAAGACAACACTATGAAAAAAAATCACCAATTTAAGAAAGTATTAATGGCCATTAGGAGAGAAATGAGAAAAACATGGTCAATGTGGCAATGATAAAAAGCACTTTATAAGGAATAGAGAAAATATAATCAACATGAAACTGATGACATTTCTGAGACTTGGATAAAAAGAGATGAATAGAAGTAATCAGATAAAAAGTGGTTTTGAGAAATAAGGAGTTCTGAGCATACTCAATGTGGATTAGAGAAGACCCCAAAGGGGAAGAGTTAAGACCTTTTGGGAGACTGCCATGGACTCCCAAGTCCCCAAAGGAAAACAGTACAAAAGAACTCTATTAGTAGAGTAGGAGGATATAGCTGCACAGCGTAGGAGGGAAAAAGCAGCATCCCATTCAGAATTGTTCTTAACCATTTTATAAGTAAGTTATCTTCTCTAGGCTATCACACACTGCTATCTTGATAAGCCTTCTTTCTTAATTCAAAAAAAAAAACTTTCACGACACAGTTATAATCTCCAGCTTTACATCCGGACAATTTCGTTGTACCAATGATACAACCAAAGTTCTGAAGTGCCTACTAGGTAACAACACATTCCAGGAGGCACTTGGCTCATGTTATCTCATTGATTCCTCACAACTACCCTGAAAAATACACGCTGTTATCCTCACCTCAGAGGCAAGGGAGCGGGGACTCAGAGAGGTAAAATAACTTGCCAGGATCTCACAAGCAGAGTGGCAGAACAAAAATCAGACACAAAATCGGACTGACTCTAAAATTCTCACTTTCAAAGGCAAATTTTATTATCAGCTGCTTACATCCTCCTAGGTAGACCTTCAAGGTGATTTTTATCTTTAAGTTAAAATTCAGTCATGTTCTATTTATGCCAAAAGAAAGAAAACTTTTAAAGGATCTAAGAATAAATACCAACTCTGGAAATCATTCAAATGTAAGATCATTCTGGTTTGTCTTATTACCTCCATCTTGCTTCCCCTCACCAAAAAACTAACCAAAAAAACCACTCTAAATTTTAAGTTTTAATGACACATTATTTACAGGCATTACAGGGCACATGTATAATTATCTAAAATTAAGAATTTATATTTGTTTTCACTGAAAGCTCTTTTAACTACAAACATATACTAAATTGTAATGAGAAGAAAATCACAAACTATTCCAATTCTTTTCCCAGAGTAGTACAAATACGAAGAACCCACCAATCCTAAGATATTTTTGATTCTTACAAATATGCAGTATAAATGAAAGCTTAATATTAGTCTTTTCAGAACTAGAAAGTGAAAATATAGTATTCCTGTTATTAAATTTGATGCTTAAAAAAACAGTAAAATAGAAAATTTTTGTGATAATTTTAGTTTTTTTCTAACTATTGTAATCTTATTATATTAGTCTCATTAACTTAAATATATATTTTCCCAAGAAAACCACTTACTTGAATTGCAGGCAGCATGGTCATCTATGCTGAAATGATACTGCTGCTATGAAAATAAAACAAAACATTAATATGCAGACAATGGTAGCTTTCCTACTCCCCCAAACCCTCAAATTACAAGGAATCTGCTTTATTCTCCTATCTGACTGAAAGCCTAATACTTTTCTATTTGGAATAATTTGACCATAGGAGAAGGCAATCATACTCCTCGTTTCTTACTTCATAAAAGTACTCCTCATTTGAAAGAGGAAAATCTGAAACACACTTTAATATGTAGTTTCTGGCACTAATATCAAAGTAATTCTTGAAGCATCTGACTAGTAAAATAAAACTAACAATAAAACTTAGCTTACCTTAAAACTGCCCCAGAATTTTCCCCTGTAAACACACTGTAAATATAATGTAAATACAAATATCACAACAACTGATACTGAAAGTCAAGTATCTCTCATCTGATCTTTACAAAGAGATAAGTTCATCCGAACTTTGTATAAATTCTCAAGTTTAACCATAAGCTTCTTCCACCAGGTGACAAGGTAATAAAGAAAAATATCAATTTTAACTATGAAGCAATACTCAATGCCTTTCCTTAATAATTTTCCATAAGTTATTTTCTCCATGAGGTGCTAAAGACCAAAAAAAAAAAGCAATTTGAACTCTAAAGGACTATTGAAACATACAAGAAAAAAAACCACAACTTTAAGTTAGATTAATACAATTCTTTAATGTATTTTCAGAAAGAAAGTGAAGAGTTTGAAAACACTCAGAATAACAGACTATATAAAAGGATTTTAGACTGCTTATAGCAGCATAACATAGTAGTCTATTTTTTATTGTAAGCCACCATTAAAATATTCTAAGAAAAATAAAATATTCTAAGAAAAAATAGAAAATGGCTTATAAGGCTATCAATTTCCAAGGAAAAGTTACTTTCTCCCCTAAGTTATACCAAACATACCTCAGATGTGTAGATGTGCCAACTACACATCCCACTTTCCTCTCAGGAACATTTCTTCCAGTACCAAAGCTGAACTGGAGCTAAACCTAACTGAAAAGTCTGATGTTACACATCACATTGTCTTTGCAAGAAGGCAAAGGACAGCAGAATGTCCTTGATGTCATTTTTCCTTCTCTCTACCCTAGCAAAAGGCCAAAGTACAATTGGGCATTACTAATGAGTTTGTTATGCTTCCCACGAGCTAACTCAGTGGGGAATACGTTTTCCTTTAGCATAAATAATCCTTTGTCCCCAACAAAGATCCACAGTAAGAAGCTTCCGAGACCATTTTTTAAAAAATACAGCAAAGAAGCTGCTCCCATTAAAATAAGGAGTCCCACATAATCAGACAAGAGCTTGAACAGCTGGAACTGCCAACCCCAAACAAAAGAAGGCCTGAATTATAAGGCATGTGCAAATCAAGAACAGTGACACAGTCACAAAGAAGCTGTCACAAGAGTGTTTAGTAGTTGCAGTTTTTATGGAAAATCCAAAATTAGTTTTATGAAAGAAATGAAGAATTTGTGCACAACCTTCAATCACTGAACTTTAGCAGAGTCTAATATATATATATATATATATATATATATATATATATATATCTTCCCCCACATCATTCTTATGAAATAGAAAGAACTACTTTAAAGATAACAAAATTAACCATCTGGATTACCTTTAAAAAGAAGTTATTTAATAAATGGTACTCAGATAAGTTATAATATATCTTCATATGTGAAAAACTATCAGGTACACAAAGATATGCTTTTATTGGAAAACTTTTATAAACTGATGAGATTGTATCAGTGAATCATCATTAACTCCTGAGTATTTACTGTGTTTCAGATCCTAAGAGCCAGTTATTAATACCTTCTAGTCATTCACTATTCTCTTTCCAAATCATTTTTGTCTTATTCTTGTCTACCATTAGCCCAGTCCCCAATCTGCATCACAATCCCAATTCTTGCTTCTTACTCAGTTTATTACCTGCTTTCCTCTTATCTATCTTTCCCTAAAAGTCTCAGTCTCTACATTTTTTTTCCCCACATAAACCAATTATACCGAATCAGCAACTCTTCATTTCTGGATCTGCACCTTGATTAGCAATTTATTGGCTTTTTTTGGTTTCTGTTTTCGTCTGTCTTTTTGGAGAAGACTACTTTAATTCTGTGCCATCGTGAGGAAGTCTCTTCCCTCGGATTTGGGCAAAAAAAAAAAGAGCTCTCAAATGACCAAGTGCAAACTATTCGCTAACCCTGCCTTAACAAGACAAACAGCTTATGCAGAGATCACGAGTGAATACTATACTTAATTTTTTAAATCTGGAGAAAATGTTAGAAGCACAGAGTGCACTTATCCACCTGAAACTTAAACAGAATTTGGGCCTGGCCCACTTAGAAACAGTTTCAGCCATGAGGTCCTCAAGATTATTTACGGTAAGGCTCTTCATACCAGTTTGACTTCAGATCATGATAGGAAAAAAATGCCAGCCCGTGGAGCGGCTCCTTTGTTCCACAGCTGTAGGCTCTGAAACTGAGTATATTTTAATTCCTCACTCACATTATAAAATGTGGTGGGGAGAGCACAAGGTGGTATGTCTCAATCCTGGTACAAATTGGGGGCCGACTTGGAAAAGAATGGCAAAAAAGCAAAGAAATAAAGTAAGTTTCCTCAGAAAAATAGTAACATTAACTGCCACTGCAACACATATACATTCGGCACCAGCCGACAGATTACTGCCAAGACACATGAGCTGCAGGGATGCGGTAAATGGTTACTGCTGAGGAGGGGACGGAGGTGAGATTAGGATGGAATGCACAGAGGCCTTGCAACGGTACCGGTAAGATTTCAGTTCAAGATAAGCAGTGAGAACACAGGTATTATTATACTGGTCTGTATGCCCTTCTGTGTGTCAAAAAAAACATTTCATCATTTTTAATGTTTCATTTAGAAAAATAGTTAAAGAAGATATCCTGATTTGTTCAGGGGAATAAAAAACAACTTTCTCAGCTTTAAAATTCTGAGTTAAATATTTCCTAAGTGCCTAGAAGAAAAAATAGAAATGCTGTATCCATACCAAACATATTTCATATTTTTTAATGTATACTAAAATAAATCACCATAAAGGCACCACCGGGGTAGTAGAAAGTAGCAGACCCATCTGCTAAATGGGGTACCACCACCTCTCGTGTATGCTTGTTGTAAAGATTAAATAAGGTGATACAAATAAAGTACCTGATATATAGCTAGCACTTAACAAATGCCTTGTTATGATGATACTATGATAGGACATAATTATAGTTCATTTAACATAATTCATCAAATTAAAAAGAGGTAAGAAAACAAAGCTAATATGAGAAATCATTAAGTGTAATTTGGAAAGCTTCTTTTACTAACATAAAAATAAATACAGTTGTAAGTGAACATAAAAACTTTAATACCAACATCCATACTCAAATACGAATGTGTAACATAGAAGTCTCTTGCTAGAATAAGGCTTAAGGATTGTGTCACACATAGGCCCTTTGCTCCATTCAGGCTGTCTCCTCACCGTCCACTCTATTGGTTTCACTCATTTCTGTGGCTCTATCACTGTTCAAGCTATACGTTTGTCCAAGCAGTGTCCACTCCTTCATTTATTAAACAATCATTTATTCACACCCTTTATTAAACTGGGCACCGCAGGCAACAGACGCAGTGATGAACATAACAGACGTGATGCTCTCATGGAGCTACTACATTCATTTGTGTATGTAGTGAATACACAAGGTTAAATCATGGTAATTGTTTTGAAAGAAAAAACAGAGAGAGAGACAGCAGGGGCCTACTTTAAGACTTTGATAGAGTGATTTAGAAATGGTTTTGCTGGAGGAAAAACATGAACTTGAAGAATGGTGGCAATTAGCCAGGGAGAGAGACAGGGAAGAGTTCTATGCATAGAGAATAATTTTTGCAAAGACTCTGTACAGAAGGGGAGAGAGTTTGGCGCATTCCGAGAACTGAAAGAAGCCAGTATGGCTGAAGCGTGGAGCATGTGCGGCTTAGGATAGGGTTGGAAAGTCAGGCAGTAGCCCCACCACGTGACGCCATACTGAGGAAAGTAGATTTTATTCTAATTGCAGTGGGAAGTCATGGAAGAGTTTTAACCAAGGGAGAGATATAATGTATTTCATAGTTTAACAGAGCTCCCTGAGGGGGAGAGAGAAACATGGGAGTGAAATACTGATGGGTTTAACAGAGAAAGGGGGAGGAAAACAGAAGGAGAGGTGGGTAGAGATGTGGGGGAAAGAATTAGTGGAAACATTGAGAGAAGGAGAAGCATAGAGGGGTAGAAACAGTGAGAGCAAAGGAAACTGAGCACACAGAAAGTGAGTTGGAGAGCAGCCCGGAAGGGGAAAAGGAGGGGATCCACTGCAGCAGTTCAGTGACCAGTGATGGTGCCTGGGCAGGGATGCTGACAAAGTATCCACCGGAGAAAAGTGGATGGGTCTGACATCTATTTTGGAGTTAGAATCAAGACTTGATAATGGTTAGAGATGGAGGGTGAAGGCGAGGGAGGTAAGGGCAGAGTGAAGCGTCAGGAACAACTCTTGGGTTTCTGGCTTAAGCAGCTGAGCAAATGGATAGTTGCAGCGTTTGCGGCGATGAAGATGATGGGAGTCTGAACAGACTGAAGCGGGGAACCCAGCAGAGACAGGGCAAAAGTGCTATGTTTTGGTCATGTCTAATTTGAGAAGGCTTCAAAGACATTCAAGTGGAAATGTCAGGTTGGCAGTTGGAAATACTAATCTAGAGCTAAGAAGAAAGTTCAGGAGGAGATAGAAATTGCCAGCAATCCTTGGGGGATAAAACCACTGGAAAGAATGAGATCATGCGAGAAAGAAATGGAGAAAGCAGTGACAAGGATCTAGGAACAAGTCCTGGAAAAAACCAACATTTAGACATGAGAGAAAGAGTCAGCAAAGAGATAGAGTCCTTACCTCGACTAATCCAGGTTTACAACTCTTCTGATTTACCTCCTCCCAGGAGCCCTTCCTGATTGGCCTGAATTA